GTTTCTTGTCTCTTTCCCTCTCTTCTGTGTACATAAATTTTGATTGGGCGACCGCCCCCTATCCTTCGATTCGACATTTCTGTTTTGGTTTTCGCCTGAATTGACGCATCCTGCATTTCCCTCTCTTTTGATTGTCTTTTGTCGACGTGGATGAATGGATGAAATGCGCATCGTTTCCTCTTGTTCCTCACTAATGTATGGGATTAGTTGCTCACAACCTCGTGGAGTTTTGATTGCATCGTGATGGGTAGATGGGATTAGTTGCCCGTTAGCATTATACTGGATGTATGTGCAGATTGTCTGTTTGAGTTTACAATTGACGTCATCATCCCGACCCAAAAATTGCGTCGAGCATATCCGAGAACCCATGTCTGAGAACCGCACGCAACGATGACACGGTCCTCAGGCTCTAGCTCATCTTGGGATAGGGAATACTTTGAGCCCTGGTTTCAGGAATCCCGCCGAGAGTACTATTGCACGCGAGAAGCGTATCCGGAATTCCCAAATTACACGAGAAACAAAGTGTGCGAGCGGGAATTCCATCGCGCGATAACTAACGATCCGCGTGGAGCAGACTATCCCGAACCGGATTACACACAATATTACACCTCTCCCGGATTCGTGGTTGTCGCCACTAATTACCCTCCCTTTCGTGTTCTCCTCCCATATCACCAGCTCACAGTGGTGCCATGGCGGGTCATAGCCGCGTATTGGCCTGAACCGTGCAGAGAGTGTTTGCTCAGGCGCCACCCGCGTGCTCCTCGCTTCGACCAGCGTGGCCATAACCCGCGGCGTGGGCAACGATCGACCCCCTTTCGAGTCCCCAGGCAGGACGCGCGGCAGTCCCCCGCACCACGGTGATCCCCATCAAACCCGAAACGGTGAGATAGGCGGTAATTGCGTGCTTGCCCTGCCTTTCGGCAGTATTGCGCCCACGACCCTTGAACTCGGCCACCGAAGGTCCCAGTTCCGACCTGGGACTTCAACCCCCACTTTCCCAAAAATCCTTGGCACACCCCTCTTCGCACTTCTAGGCCCCCATCCCACTCCGGTCAGGAAGTCGCGTCGGGCGTGAGGTTGGTATTGGAGCTCGACACGTGGCTAAGCGATAAGGGTCTGTAGACTCAATACTAGCTAAGGCGAGGCGATCTGGCTCCACGTAGGCGCCCTCCAGCTGGTAATATAAGTCGACGTAGTCCTGTAGCTACACGAAGCCGAACATCCGCCACAAGGCGAGCAGGCGCCATGGTTGCGACCGCTGCTGCAGCAGCCGCTGCGGCGGCCATCCCCAATCAACCGCCTAACATGCCTGTGCGCACCCCTGCGGCTCCACCGAATCTTTATTTATTTGAACAAGCACACCATCTCGTCGGAGCATGGTAAGCCACGCTCCGAGCTCAACGGTATACGAACGATGAAGCTCAGATTAACATCCCCGCGCGGATGGGGGGAGACGCCCATCATTGGTATAACACTTATGTATGGGTAGATCTTCCCACATTCGAGCGGGATTTCATGAACCACTTTGATTATGTTCACCCTGAACAAGCACTCTACATGATCAAGGATCGAGTCCATAAACCACTCGAATCCATTACCGAGTATCGGAGCAGATTTCATCGAATGTTTGTGAAGACTGAGCGAGGCGAGCAGGTAGGCCGGGACTTGTACATTGATGGACTACATAACAGAGCGATTCGAGGGAATCTACATAAAAACTTCTCTCCCATTAATCACACGCTGCAACAAATTATGGACGCTGCCGAAGAGATGGAGCGGAAATTCGCAGCTAGCTTCCTAGAAAATGAGGATTACTGTAGAGAAGGAGACTCGTCCGAACTTGTGAAAGCAAGGGCGGAACTGGCCGCACTACAAAACAAATTCGAAAACATGGGATTCGTAGCCGGACCCGTTACGTACGTAGAGCAGGTAACACCGAGGATCGCACCCCATGGAGCGACTGTAGACAGGCGGATCCCGGTAATGGCGTCCCCAACCGTAACTCGACCACCTCCATAGCCACCCACCATCGAGTCACCCGCAAAAACGAATGAGTCTACTGCTATCTTGGAGCTAACTAAAACATTGGTTAGTCTAATCCAAGAAAGCAAGAAGGAACAGCGGGAGCACAACGCCTGAATAGAAGCTATGATGCGAAATATGCGCCCCATTGCGGTGCGAGTACCAATGCAGGGAGGCATGGCTACTGCACAAGTGGCAGCGGGGCCAGCCGGAACAGCGACAAATGCCTGCTTTACATGTCATCAATCGGGACACTTGGCCCAAGATTGCCCCCATCGTGCCATGCAGCCTCGAGCCGCGATCGCGCCTGCAGCTGCAGCTCCCATAGCTAACGGCCCAGGACGAGTAGGAGCCATGATGGATGATCAGGGGGGAAGTACGGGAATGATGATTTCCAGTGAGGAAGCAGCTGAGCTTATCCCACTGGAGCAGTACGTATCACTAGGATACCCGGGGCTGGGAATGATTGGGACGATCCGACCAGAACTCGAGTCCAGAGATGTCGCCGAATGGCGGCCCTCGTCGAGCGAAATGGAGACGGGAGGCCTTACCTTTGTTACAGGAGAAGTCAAAGTCCTTGACGTTACCCGAGCACTGGATCATCGAATCCCTCTCCCAATCGGCCACCCACTCTCCATCTCGGAACAGGCGAACGAACGGATGATGCAGCATTGCAAAGCGAACCGGAAGCGATTCGCCCTTGCATGCGCAAAAGATCAGAAGGCGAAGGCGCCGCCTCCGGAGGAAAAGTCGGACGTCACCCCTGATCCCATCCGAGTCGGATTAATACAGAAAGATGACCACTTTCTTTGGATCAAGCCGATTCCGTGGAAATCGGCCGAATGTGATATTGAAGTCTGGGGAGTGCCGTATAGTGCGATCATAGATTCGGGAGCGGCGGTCCTGGCGATATCACTCCGAGTAGTCGAGAGAGCGGGTAGGAAGAATTATTTGATCATGCTAACCGAGAAGGACCAGCTCGTATCGGCTGACGAAGAGAAGATCAAGACAGAAGGACGTATGACGAATGTCGCGTTCCGATTAGGAAAAGCGCATGCGTTAGGAGATGTTGTGGTGCTGGATGTGAATACATATGACGTTCTGTTCGGGCTTCCTGCATTGGTGGCGCTGCGTGCTAATTTGGACTTTGAACGCCGATCCGTCATTCTCCGGAATACCGGGGGAAAGCCGTATGTAATACCCATGAGACGGTTAAGGTAGTACCCCGAATTTCTCCAGAAACAATGGGAACGCTCCGCATGGTCTCCTGGGATGCATCTGTGGACGGAGGCCAATCATCGAACGACGCGTGAAGCGACGACGAGGACGACCCTGTCGTTACACGATTATTACGGCAGCGGATTCACTACCCGCCGCCTCGCACTATTGCGTGTACCATGCATCTGACCACACGGAATGCTCATATGTTGATCATGGGAGAACCCCTCGTACAAATTTCGAGGATGGTTGATTCCTTGGAACCCCCTCGGACCCTGTACGAAGGCGTATCTCCCCTTCTCCTTCGGTATAGTGACAAGCGTTCCTTTTGCGATCTCACTGGCTTACCTCGATATTTGCTTCAGCCCGCAAAAGAGGTTCAGTTGTTGCGTTTGGGAGCCAAAGCAGGATCTTTGGAACACCCTCAGCGCATCGAGGCGAGATCCGATGAATTCGGGATCAAGATTTCGCCTAAAAACGTGCCCTGGCGAGATATCTGTAACGGGATAACCCCCGAAAGTCATACAGCGATCAGGGAGGAGGAAGCACAGATGGTGGCCACTGTGTTTTCTTGGAGATCGGATCACTCTTTTATATCTGCACCACCTGCCACTACTCGGCGTATGCACACGAAGCAGGTTAACGTTCGGATTTTGGATCAAATGTATGAATTGCATGTGCCCCAGTATGTACCTGATGAGATCCATCGGCTGATCGCTGATATTTTACTAGAATATCAAGGGGCGATTAGCATGTCCGATGTCAATATTGGATTATCCGTGGTCATTCAACATGAGATTCAGACCGGGAATCATTCCCCAATCCACTGCAAGTCGTACCGATACTCGTTGACAGAGCGCAAGATGGCCTTGCAGCGAATCAGGGAATTTGAGGCAAACGGATGGATTGAGCCCGCCACCGGTCCCTGGTCGTTCCCAGTTGTGTTGGTTCCCAAAAAGAACGGGTCAGTCCGCATATGCATCGATTATCGAAAGCTAAATGATATCACGATTAAGGATGTGTATCCCCTTCCCTAGATTGATGATCTGCTTGATGCGATCGGGTGTGCTAACTACTTCAGCAAGTTCGACATTCGGCATGGGTTTCATCATATCTTGGTAAAAGAAGAAGATCGGCCCAAGACCGCCTTCGTTTTATTTGAAGGCACGTGACAATGGGTTCGATGCCCGATGGGAATCTGCAACGCGCCTGCCACGTTTCAGCGGGTGATGAACGTGACTTTTCAGAATTTCGTCAATAAGACGCGGCTGACTCAGGGGATGATTAACTTCTGCGTCATTGTGTACATGGATGACATTCTGGTGTACTCGGACACGTTTGACGGATACGCGCAACACATCGAATGGACGTTGAGTGCGTTGAGAGACGCAGGTTTCAAGATCGCGCTGGAAAAAAGCGAGTTTTTCCTCCCGGAAATCTCGTTCTTGGGGTATGTGGTGACACGTGGAGGCCTGTGGCCGGACTCTCGAAAAGTCACGGCGGTCAAAGAGGCCCCGGTTCCGACCTCACTTACGCAGGTTCGAGCCTTCTTGGGCCTGGCCTCGTACTACCGGCGGTTCATCAAGGGGTTCGCGGCTGTAGCAAGGCCTATGACAAACCTGCTGCGAAAAGAACAACCCCTTCATTGTTCATCACTTCCATCAGGCACCCCTCTCGGCAGTTTATTCTCATCACCGACTGGCAGCCGGAGGCTATTTCGTCCATTCAGGCACAGAAGGGCAGCGATGGGAAGGAGCATGTCATTGAGTACACTTCCCGCACGGTGCCAGACGAGCGACGAAACGATTCCGCACCACAAGGAGAATGCTATGCGGTAGTGTGGGGTATCCAACACTTCCATCCGTATTTGTACGGACAGAAGTTTCTGCTCGTCACCGACCATGAACCCCTGTTGGCTCTGAAAAAGCTAACCAACTACACGGGCATGATCGAACGATGGGCGGTGCGGTTGCAAGAGTATGAATTTGACATTGTTCATCGAAAAACAGAAAGACACGGCAACGCCGACGGACTGACACGTCTGCACCGACCCGACAAAGTACCAAAAGCGGAAGAGATCACACCGTGGAAAGACCTGGACATCAACAATTGTCCAAAGTACGGAGAAGTTGCGGTGATTCCACTTGGCAAGAAGCCGGTGAAGGGCAATGGGTGACGAAGGTAATGTCCTGATTCCCTCTCTTTCTTCCACATCCTCTTCTTTCGCCTCCCTTCTTGACAAATTTTGCTATTTCTGCGAGGCAATTTCTCGAGTCTATTCCGTCCACATGTGTCCAAAAGGGACGGGATATGCTGAATGGGTAAACTGTCGAAAATGTGTCGCACGTGCTACGGTGCGTGCATACAGTATCGGAGTAGTGATAGACCCTGGTTCTGTCCCTTATGTCGCACTGACAAGATTCCGACGGAAGCCCGAATCCTCGATGCCATGTCGGAAGGCCCCGACAAAATCCAGAAGTTTAGAAGAGCGGAAGTCTGGACAAATGTCGCCTTAATAGCCACGGTGGTAGGCAACTCCCTCGAAACCTTCTCCAGGGAGGATCGGAGGAGGGCCAATGAAAGAGCACGGGATTACCGATGGGTGGATGGACGGTTAGAGAAGCGTAAAACGGACGGCAGTGGAGCATGATTAGTAGTTCCGCACCCGTTCATGCGGTACGACTGGGTACGAACCGCCCACGAGGAAACGACGGCGCATTTTGCCGTGCGTATTACTGAAGCTGCGATAGCCAGGAATCAATGGTATTGGTCCAATATCCGGGACGACGTTAAATTCATCGTCCAACACTGCCAGGTCTGCGCTGCTGACAAGGCCCCAGCCCAACCGCCTAGATCGATAGTCCCAACTGTGGTTGAAAGGCCGTTCCAGAGGGTTAGCATGGATACTACTGATATAGTGGTGCCCCCTGGACCGAATAGTTGCGACTGTTCAATTCTGCTGGTTTTCGTCGACCACTTTTCTAAGTGGATCGAGGCCTACCCCTGCAAAACACGACAAGCCGCGAAAATCGCGCGGTACGTCAACCGCTTTCAGGGCATGCACCAGGACACAGAGGAGATCCTGACTGACAATGGGGTCGAATTTAGAGGAGAAGTCGAGAGGAACCTGGTCCTCCACGGCGTCTCCATACGGCACACAGCCCCGCACATGTCCCAGTCTAACGGATTAGTGGAAAACGCGAATAGGGTGATAAAAACGGCCTTGCGGCGGAATATTGCGGCACGAGACCCCCCACCCTGGCCTGATATTGTCGACCACATCTTGGCGGTCCATCGCTGAACGCCCCACGAATCAACGGGCCTAAGCCCCTTCCAGCTGCGGACTAATAGTGTCGCGTGTGTATCGATACCGAGCCTCCCAGACAAATCAGGACTCAACCGACGCCCCACAAGGGCCACCGCTCGGGACAAAGCCAAAAGGCACCCGGAACTCATGGAGCGGTCCCTACCTAGATTGGCCCGGAAGCGCCAACGGTCCACCGAATTGGCCCATGGTCGGCAGGTCCGAAGTTACGAGGCTCGGAACGGGAATGCGGGTCCCAGGACCCAGTATAAGTTAGGGGACATCGTGCAGGTAAGGAAATGTGCGCGCCAGGGTAAACTAACGCCACGATTCTTCGGACAGTATCGAGTGATTCAACTCGGACCCAACGGCGTGGACACCGTGCGCCTCGCTCCCGAGATTTCCGGCAGTCGATCGGCTCGCCCGATCACACGCCACGTGTCCTATCTCCGCCTTCTTCCCTTTGTTCCGTCTCCTTTTCCATCAACCTCTCTCGACGACGACTCTATCTCCTCTGCATCTCCTTCTCCTTCTCAATCCCTGTTGGATACGCCGTCACCCTCGCCATCGCCATGAGCTTTATGGAGGAGAGAGCTCTAAGTGAAGAAGCGCTGGTAGCACGGGGGAATTTGACACTGCGGCATGTGCTTCATCCTCATCTTAGTCCAAACCTTCAGCGGGCTGCGCAATTCTTCTGCTCGAAGGGCGTCTACGCGGCAGCAGAGATCCACGTCGACGAGAGGGCTGACGTGATCATATTGGCCGAAGCTGTCGGGCTGCGACAACGAATATCAGCGGGCTTTGGCCGGATAACGGTGGTGGTTAACTTTAGCGGGGATCTGACGGCGATCCCCCCCATCCGACATACGAGAATCAAGGCGACGTTGCTTCTGTGGGCGCACAATCTTCAGAACGAGTGGACCCAGATCCTGGCGCACCAAGGGGACGTGATCACACCAATCCGAGCAATCGAATACAATGGCCTTCGGCTGGATCGGCGTGACTCACCGACGCAATTACCCCCTCTCATCCCCTTCCATCCCCGATGAGTTCCTTCCCGATCTCTACTTTCGAGCTTCCTTCTTTCTTCCCCACCTTTTGGCAGTCCGATCTTCATTCCCGCCTCTCCTTCTGCATAGATCCTCTAGTTGTCCCCCTCATCGATCCCTCTCAGTGGGACGCGTGGCGCGGAGACTTCATCGAACTCTCACTGTGTTTGGCGGAAGTACGGGTGACGTGGACGAGGGACGAGAGCAATTATCCGCGGTCTGAGCGATTGGAGATCCTTTTGATTCAGGCGTGGCGGACGGAAGTAGAAGGGGACCTTCTCGGTTTTCTATTCGGGGCAGTGCGTCCAGGCTGTCGGAGGCTTCTCACCCAGGAGCTTACGGTCCCAATTGCGCAGCTGGCCGACCATCTTGACGTCAGCATTGTCTCTCAGGTCGACCCGCGCTTGGTGCCCCACGTCACCTCGCGCACGCTGTCGCCATATCTTCAGTGGTCAGCTTGCGTGGAGGGCTTCCCATCAAGGATTCCGCCTTCACGGCTGGATTATTTGGATATGCGCGACATCATGGATCCCGCTCTCTATAGACCGCCGTACGAGGACGAATTGGAGGAGATAATCCGCGAGGAGCTCGCGGAAAAACGTTCCGAGGAAGAGGAGGAGAATCTGAACGAAGACGAAGGGGAGCCGACACAGCAACAAGAAGGAGACGAAGACGAGCTCCTGCAAACGGAGAGTGAAGAGGAAGCAGAAGAAGAAGATAGCGAGCAGCGGAGTGGCGATGACAACGACGAGAAGTAGGCCAACGAGGATCCCCAACTAGAAATTGCGCCGGTGGCTGATTTTCCGATCAGCAACGATCCAACGCTCGACCCGGAGCCACCTCAGCCAGACGATGGCCATGTGGCCCAGGTGGCTGGGTCGTCCGCTCGCCGGCCTCCTTCCTCACCGCGACGCCGACGACGAGGCCGCTCCCCCTCCGCCTCCCTCTCCCTCGCGGCCCGTCCCTCACTTCGAGCACGTCGAGATGAGGCCGATCGGTCTTCGTCCTCGGGCTCTCTCTCTCCGCCCCCATGACTTCCTCACCCTGCACCAGCTCACCCGTCCCGCCGTCTTCCCCCACAACCCCTTCCCCCGCGATGCTTTCCGTCATTACTTCTCCATCCGTCTCTCTGTCATAGTCCATCCCCACTCATCCTCCCGGCGTGCTTCCCCCGAGTTCCCCCTCCATGTACTTCTCTTCAGCGTTGGATGGCGTCATAGAGGTTTATTGCCTCATCACGGGGTTAATCCCCGCATGCGCCGACCGCGATCGCTTTCGCGCGGCGCTTCTTAGAACCTTCGCCACTCTCTATCCCGACTACCTCACTTCTCTCCCCACTACTGGCCGCCGATTCCCCCGCTTCCATAGCATCCTCCATCATCGGAGCCTTCCGGAGACGGACGATGAGCTGGAACGCTTCTTCCCGCCTATCCCGACTCATCCCCCATCAACACCTCCGTCTGCCTATCATCTTCCTTTTCCTCTTCCCCACGAATGACGACAACCAGGATACGACTGCCGCGCAGCATGACGTCCGCACTCGTTCGCACGGTATGCGGCAGAAAAGAAGGTCAACCCTCCACGGCCAATCAATCAAAGAGGAACGACACGTCAGCTAGCAAGCAGGAGCTTGCTTATCTTTGGAATCCGCTGGGCGTCACATATGTGACGAACTAGCTTCTGTAATGCGCGACTTTCGGCGCGAAGTGCTAAGAGGGGTCCCACATCGATTGGATGGGTTGATGGAAAATTGCATGTGTGTCCTTGCCTTTTTGTTGTTTCTTCGTTCTCACACGAGCCCCTGATGACAGTTGGGGACAATTCGGGAATGCACGGGGAAAAGGGGCGAAACCTGGTCGGATGCGGAGTGTGCGCCGAGTGCGCGATTAGTAAACGTTGACATCCGTTCTTTTCCGTTCCCCTTCTTTTAATTTTGTTTTGTCGAACTTTTGAGCGCGCTGACATCGCGCGGGAATTTCGGTGTCTCTTTTTGAATTTCTTTCTTGAATTTTCTTTTCGAATCTTGGTTGGAGTCATACGGCCTTCGGAATTTTGATTTTCTTTTCGGACCTTTCTTAATATCGGCAGGCTAGCTAGGAATTTAGGAATTTTGGAATTTCTGTTTTTCTGGGGCGCAGCTCTGCACATTCGCGCGCTCTTTCTTGCTGCTGCGCCGGAACCTTGATTGATTGGCGCCTTAATCCTTTTGCAACTGTAATTTTTCGCGCACACTTTTGTAACTGTATCTTTCTG